ACTGTTTAAGGAATTTTGTCGAGGCTATGGCTGTGCGAATGAAGAAATTACCTAACACTATCTCATGCGTTAGCTATCATACGCTAGGAGAAGATTTGAAATGTGTAAAGTTAGCGCACCTTTGCTTACTGATCAAATAGTTGTCACGCTCTAACTTAAGAGGTATAACCAAATTTATGGACTTGTCAAGTTGTAGGCTGCATTTTACTTGAATGGGGAAGTCCTGCCTTCTCAAAGGAACGTTTCTCGTGTGTTTATGTCTTCGGACTTTTCACTTTAAGATTCTTTAAGTCTAGTTTACGGGTATTATCTCTTCTATGCTTTCTAAACGAATTTTTACTTTTGTTCTCAGGTCGATTTTTTTTTGATGAAGCATTCAAAATAAATTTCTGGCTACAGGACTTGTGGTAAAAATTTCTGGCTACGGAAGATAAAATCAAAAAATGCTTTTGATGGTGCCAATAAAGCAAATTTCTGGTTACCGGATTTTGTATTAACCGCTAAGATATTTTATCACATTGTACTATTGCAATGTTTTTTTATAATAATTTTTTTTGTAACTGTTAATAAAAAATTTTTACTTTTTTTACAGCATAACCTATAAAATGTAGTTGAATGTATTGAATAAAAAAAAAAAATCAAGCCGCAGTGTGAGCGTGTTGAAAATAGAACAAAATTCCTAGTAATGTTGAGTTCGGGCAATTCACAGCAACAGCATCACACACAACATCAGCAACAACAACTCCAACAACAACAGCAGCAACATCTTCATCACACACAACAACAAAACTCACAAAATCAACAAACACAATCACACACTGTCACGCTCTACGATGGCGATTTAAATTTCACAACATTCGCAGAACTGTGCCGCCTCTGTTCGATACGTAATGGTCCCGCCAAAATCAACCTTTTCGAGAAAGAAGCAGAGCAAAGGAATCTGATTTACAAGCTACGCACGCTATTGCCGGCGAATGTAAGTAAATTTCGCGTCGTCTATGTCTGCATTTGCACTTTCAGCGCACATTCAAGTGCCTGCCTTGAGTGGTGGGTACAGTGGGTGGTGGGTTGCGCTTAGAGTGGTGAATGGGATTTTCTTGCTCTTTTACTGTTACTGCCATTGACATTGGAGTCAAAGACAAAAACTTTATTGCGTTTATTTTTGGATTTACTAAGATTTTGTTTTTATTATTATTTGTTTTTTGTTTTTTTTTTCTTTTAGATTTCCAAGGACGACTTTTTGCCGAAAAATATTTGTGAAGGTTGCGTATTAAAGGTGGAACATTTATTCGAGTTTCGTCAGTCCTGTTTACATACAGAGAATATTCTCAGAAATTATGCGGACTCGATGCGAGCAGTTACGGCTACCATAAACTTTCAGGTACTTATAAAATGACATAATGATTATATTATAAAATTGTATTTATATATGTATATATATGGTATATACACATCGAAGCTTATATATAACCATGTTGATAACCAATTTTACAATAAAAAGGTCGGTCCTACATTGAAAATATATGAAATTTAATTCATAACACGCTTCTCCTCCTCATCTTTCACTTCTCAAATGACGAATGTTAGTCAGTGGTTAAATATAAATTAAATAATATAATATTAAAACTAATATATATTAAAATAAAAAAGCTCAAAAATATGTAATATAAACGTCGAATAAAATAAATGAAAAATACACGTTCCTTTTAGAGGAAATCACAATTGTGAATAAAAAAGTAATATGGTGACGTTTTAAGGTGCCCACAACGATATATATACACTCGAAACGTATTATGTTGTTGCCGTTTTGCACCGTTCGTATGTTACTCAGCTATCGAGTTCGTTATGCGAGATCGTGAATACCCTATTTTTTATTTAATAAGCATTTAAGTTTTGCTTCTATGGTTTTGGGCATAAAAAATATAAAAAACCTGATTAATTAATCGTTCAATCCTCCAAACGACTATAAGATCTATCGATAACTATTGGATTACACATTACAAGTAATTTCAATATTTTCCAGTATATATGGGGTATTCACGATCTCAAGAAAGGAGTTTTATTAGTCGACTAACTTAACTTACTTACTTACTGCTGTTGAGTAATATGGTAACACTGTAACGTGCTAACAACAAAACACATGTTGTAAAACTATATATATTATTAGGAACTAAAATTTTATAAATTCTTAAAATTCTATCCAATATATATTGCAATCGATGTAATCGTTTGTATGGTCCTTGAAAGTATTTAGGCTGAATTAACATAATTGTGCTGTAAGAAATCAGCTGACAGGTTCCAATGTAAGAAAAATAATACCTTTATTTATTTGTGTTGACGAATAAATAATAAGGGGAAACCATTTGAATTTTGGCTTCTTGATGTAAACATAAAAGAAATCTTATATCAGCTGATACAAACATTCAGCAATTGCATTGTATTTCTTTGTGTGCCAAATATTTAGTGATCGGATTGAACTTGTGTTTGTGTTTTTATGCTGTTTTGCTTTGTATATACTCCATTACAACTAATGACTTTACAACTAATGACTATATACTCCATTACAACTAATGTATTCTGCCGTTTACATACTCTACGTTTGGTACGATAAACGATTTTTTATAGTTGTAGATATATAGTCTTGCATTCATTGTTATACTCAGTGCTATCTGATATCAACATATCTTTCACATACCACTACAAGTGGGCAACAGACCTTATATACCGTCTCGTTGTGCACTATTCATTAGAGGAATAAATATACTGCCGAATGTGAATAAACATAAGATAAAGACTTACTGAATAATTTTAAGATGAAAGCAAATAGCTTTTTCTGTTAGAATTATATGGCATTTACACTGACCTCAAATGACTTATTTTGGTCCAAAATCAAAAATGAGAAGCAAATGACTCATTCTCAAGCGCAAATGAGATCCATTGGATCTAATTCTGTATAAATGAGTTCCAACGAGGTTAGAATGGGTTCCAAATGCAAATGAATATATTCAAATTATATATGTTAAGACTGCTCTAAATTCAGTTTAAAAAAATATATATTAAATATAATACAAATAATGTATATTTAAAATATATAAATAAAATATATAATATATAAAATACATATTAAATATAATTAAAAATATAATATATATAAATAT